ACATATTCGAAGAATTTAATAGCCCCATTTGGTAAAATGCATCTTGTCTTGTAAGTCTCAAAAAACATATTCTTGAAGCATCTGAGAAAAAACACATAAGGTTTCATAGTTTTCAACATATTGTACAACTAAGCGAAAAGAATTTATAGGTATTGCCGTATTGGTGATAGTGATTAGAACCCCCGATGGTGCAAACTACAAATGATATTTGAAAGCCACATTATTCGGGGAAAGAATTTCTGGGCCAAACGAGGCAGGCGTGACACAGACCTCGCTACTCAATAATAGACCGTGTGGCTTAGCCCAACGGAAAGGATGATGAAATCCGCGTTTGACTTATTTGAATACTCATGCAGCTGACCAGCACTCGATCTTACCCAGGAAGCTTTTTTCATACGGCTATCCCTTATGCCCTCAGCCCCGACAACAACAAATTAGGGAAAATGACTTATTTAATCCCCGGACTAAGCACTTTTTCAGTTTTTCTTCCCTATTCTCTTTTTTTTTTTCACACCGATTTGGTCGTAAGCTTTTCCTTGTACCAATTTAGTCCCTGGATAGTTGCACCGCCCTATGAACTTTCTCTTTCATCCTTGACCAATCGGTCAAGTGTTTATTTTGTCAATATATAAGTATGCTTAGTAGAGATATTAATACGTAGGGTTTGAGTTTGATCCAATTAATTAAGGTCCAAACCCGTCAATTTGATTAACATTCTAATTTGGACCTTAGAGTCTCAAAAAGAAAATCTACATTAGAACCCTCATAGGTTTGGGCCCCAGTATCTATCTCTTAATATGTAATTTTTAAAAAATTCAGAAACAATAATAGTATGTGAAATTCAAAAATATTTTCAAGTAATATGATTAACATTCAAAATGTTGCATGCAAAAAAATAAGATAGAAGTATGAAATATGATCAAATAATTTTATTTGTTTTAATTTTTTTATATTCAAAATTGAAACTTCCATGTATTTAAATCTTCTCTACTTTTGTTAATATATACATATAGATTTGGGTAGAGTTTATATTTGGGTATTAATCATACAAAACCAGAATCTAGTCAAAACTTATGATTCTTTAAGAAGGCTTGAATTTGGATAGGGTCTGAATTTGAAAAATTGGACCTAAATTCAAAAATAATATTATTATAAATCTAGATTGAATTTGGATAATACCGAACCAGTTAAAATGCCTAATTCCTATAATTTCTTTTAGATCCAAGCAAAGGCCGGTATTCCATCTCGCTCATTTATTATAGCTAGCTTTGTTCAAATCCAAATGGAAACTAAAAATAAAAACTAAAATCAATAGGTATAGGTTTAAGAAACAGAGACCGGAGACACTATAACAATGATGAGGACCCTTCAAAACTAGTGGTGGAAGGTTTACTTCACTAATTGTATGTTGCTTTGTTTATTAACAAAGGCACTAGGCAGTACATGCATTTCTTTTTTCCAAAAATAGGATAATAGTATGTTAAATCATTAATTGATGGAAGGATCAATCACAAGTATTCATTAAGGTATGACAATTCATAAGCATGGCTGGCTACGTGGGTAACAATATATAGATTAAGAGGAGCCTTTTGAGAGCTGGAAGGTCTTGGCCACTTTCAAGAATATTTATGAGTGATGCAAAAATTTGGAAGAGTCTTTGCAGAAAAAAAGTTCAAAATTACATCAGATAGATTAAATTATTTAAACATTTATTTATGTGTTTATTGGTTAATTTATGTATGTCAAATGTTCTCCTTGGTCATTTTTCCTTACTTTAATTTTGAGTTTTGCAGTTAATTTGTTAATATGTTTTGAGGTTTATGGAGAGAGACAAGTGTGAAAATAGTTGGGAGGATGAATTGGAAAGGGTTATGACTTGTGATTTCCTCTTTGGCTAATCGATTGATTGGTAAAATACTAAAATAAGGTACCCATTTGGATTGCTATTTTAGTAATTTTTGTAAAAATTGTACGATAATGATTTGATATATGTAAAATAAAAAAATGATTAAAAAAATATTCATGAAAAAGTATAAAATCTGTTTTTGCAAAAAATCACAATCCAAACAAGGCAAGTTTGGGTAGAATCAAGACAAAAGGACTAAATATGTGAAAAGAAAGGAGTTTGAGGACCAAATTGTTGCAAAACAAAGGAGGAGGAGTAAATGCGTTCTAACAAAAATGTTGAAGGACTAAACGAGCCATTTTCACCATCGACAAACTCTACTAAAATTTCTTCATGGGAAGGGGTTTAGCTGCTTATTCATAATTCCCATCAGTCGCCTTATATCTGTCTATCGTAAGTTTAATTGAGCTGATGATTTTCTCAATTCAGCAATAGAAAACCATGGAAACATTAAAACTTTCTGCAGTGTCTTTGAGTCCTCGAATTAATCGACCCAGTTTCCTCATCAAAGTAAGTTGAGCAGTTTCTTTCTTGAATTGCCTATCATTTCCCCCGTCTATCTGGCTCTATCTTGGGCAGGAATTCTGAATAGAATTGGGGATCAATTTAGCTCTTTCCTTTTTAGATATCCGTAGGCAACTATATATGCCGTCTTTTATTGCTATCAGATGGGATATCCCATTTGCGCGTTTGTAGCTCGTTTGTGTTCTCTCTATGTTCCACACCCTGTTGAAACTATTTTCTGCAGTGTTACAAACAAAAACATTTTTTTATTCGATAGGCTTAAGATTGATTTATGTTTTGAATTCTGCATGAAGGGGTGGGGAAGAAACTGAAATCGAGTCAAGAGTGCTAGTTTGCTTCGGATATACAATTGCCTGATCAAAGTGAATTTTCGATTTATAGGAGAGCGTATTTGATGTCCGAAAGCACTGTACTAGTCCTTATTCGTGCATTCATCCACTTGGGGTCCTTCCTCACTTAGCTTCGAATCTCCTCAAGGAATGCAACATTGGTTTGTCTGACAAGTCTCAGATAAGAGCTGAAAAGGTTTCTGGTTTTGTTGGCCTCGGTTTGAAAAAGGGGATGCTTGGTAAGTTCTGTTTATTCTGCTTGCAAACATTTTGAAGTTTCCCGTTTAGATTCAGGGCATCTTGTCTCCATTAATTCCCGTCTCTTAATATTTCATCATTCTAGTTTTGGCTAGCTTTCTTTTTCCCTGTGTTATTCATGCTGGCATAAGTGTGAGCATATTGTTGAGTGCCATCAGTAAGGTTGGCCATATGCCAACTTTACCTAAATTTTTAGACGAAAAATAGATTTTGAGGATGTTAACAATCTTAATATGAACTGATAAATGTCATGAAACTGGCCCTTGCCAACTTTACTTTTAATTGCTAAACGAAATAATGACACCCAATTTCTGCCATTTCTTTCCTAGAGGCTGAAACGAAATGAGAGAAACTTTTCTCAAGTGTTAACTTGTTTTCCTTATTTCATAACTTGAGTTCTCTTATCCTTTTAGCTTCCATTCATTGCCAAACTAGGCCTTAAGAACTTGAGATTGCAAACTGTGGATGCTGGATTTCCCTTCAAGTTCTTGAAAGAACTGAAGTTGCCCATCATCCCCTCCTACAAGTGCTCAGGAACAGATTGCAGGATGCAGCTGAAAGATTATCAGCTGACAAATAATTATTCTACTACAGTAATGTGATTATGCAATGATGATGATTTATATAATTTTATAATTAACTAGTGTGCAGGTCTTTTGATTAGAAATGAGTATATACATCTTAGCACTTGAATGCAGATTTAGGAATTCAGCATTGCTGTAGCATGCTTCTTGATTACTTGGCCTTTCTTTTAAGATGGTCTAAGACTTTGTTTGTTCAGAGCAGTTCCTGTTAGGCATGTTTCTCGTCCATGCCTGTTGAAAATATGTCGAGTCAAAAGTGAGGACTCAGAAGGAATTTTAACGGGAGAAAGCATCATAGTAGATGAGCAGACGCTGGAGCGGGAATTACAGATTGCAATAGAAGAGGAGAACTATACCAAAGCAGCAGAAATAAGAGATAGCCTTCGGTCTCTCCAGAGTGACAGCAAGGCTTCTGTGTTAGCAGCTAATACTCGCTTTTACAACACATTCAGAAACGGGGATCTAGCAGCTTTGCAAGCACTATGGTCAAAGGGTGATAATGCATGTGTTGTGCACCCTGGTGTGAGTGGCATATCTGGCTATGATCTTGTGATGGGAAGCTGGGAGTTTGTGTGGGCTGACTATGAATTCCCACTGGAAATCGAGATCAAGGATGTTCAAGTTCACGTTAGAGGGGATGTAGGATATGTTACATGCATTGAAATGGTTAAGACAAAGGGTAGCAGCTGGGGTAAACAGTTTGCCACTAATGTCTTTGAGAAAATTGAGGGTCAGTGGAAAATATGCATTCACCATGCATCATATGTTGACTTGTGAAATGGATTTTGAGGACGTTAAGGAAATGTAGTGGGCATTAGGCAACGGCTTTTAGTAACTGTAATTCTGTCCAAGGTGTATCCTCAACTTTGAATTTTGATGTACCTGCATGCTATCAAATTTTGCCAAAAAGTTTGTAACAAATGCGTCTGCCGATATGCAGAGGCACATTCAAGCATGGTGGCTTAAGTTTTGGTTGAGGTTGGTGTGTTGACACAATACTTAACGGGTCCGTTGCTGCTACAGATTAGTCCTATTCCATTAACTAATAGTTGTAGTCTTCTGAGGCCCTGCGCAATTCAAATCACCGTGGTTGGCTTGCTTTAATGCATTCTACTGCTATGGTATGGATTCTACTTAAATTTGAGCCTTCAGCAAACGTTTAGTTGGACATCTTTGTTTATAAGAACGTGAACAACACCTTGCTTGACTAAATACGGCTGCAAATGTCTGCATTTCATAGAACATCGTTTAGTTACTCTTTGTTTCTGAAAGCAGCTTTTCGCCTGGACCCTTGTTGATTAATCTCTCGTGACAAGAAAAGTGTCCAGCGTAAGCAGCTTTTAATTGTTTCCATCGTAAAGTTGCTCTTTTCTTTCCATTTCTGAGAGATAAGAAAGGTGTCCAGTAACATATTTGAACTGTCCATTTCTAACGGATAAGAAAGTCTCCAGTATATGCAAGTAGTTCCAGGAGTTCAGGTTGCAGAATGCAATCTAGTTCTCCATGTGTTTTTTTAGCATGAGTAGTATTATTGCCTACATATACATGTAACAAATTACAGAGGCCAATACAATTCCTTACTAGCTGACTTCTGTATTTCGGAAGTCTAGGTGTGAAAATCACTGCAAACTAGCAGTCTAGTCAGATGTACACTTGTTCCTTGGGTCTTAAAATCTCTTATTTACACCTAGCGAGCCAAACTCCCAATAATCAGGCACTCAAATCCTCCCTACTGGTGAGGGGGGAGGCGATGAAACATATTTTGGAGGGACCTGGCCTGGGGTTATGCTCATGTTCTTCATGTCAACGTCCTCATTCTTGGCTTCCACAGAAACTTTTGCTTCTGGCAGAAGGTTACCATCAAAGATGCCAGATAAGTGTCGACTCGTTATGACAGCCACGCAAATAGAGAATGCTTCTAGCAAGGAAACTGATGCATCAAAGTCAATTGAATGAAATCCATCTTTGAATGGTGCCAAACTGAAGATGGGCTGGCCTTTTCCCTCTCCACCCTGTGAAGAAGCATAGACTAAGAATGACGCATTGAATTTTCACTGTTAATACATAAAAAAGACGCGAGGAAGTTCATGAAGCATGAGGGCAATACCTGGATGAAAAGATTCATACGGTGTAGTGTCGAGCAGCTCGTAGCTGGTATAGAAGAGTTGCTTCCTTTCTTCTGGTTGGCAAGAACTTTCAGCTTGCAACCAACATCCCATCCTCCACAATCACATGATCCCCCAGATTTCCAGCGCTGAATCAAGGATGAAGGTGCACCATCCTTTGGTAAACTATGAAAACCGCCAGGAAGAATGACTGTTATACTGCTGAAATTCTCTTTTTCACCATAGCCATAGGTACTGCCTGGTGAAAAGCCAAGAAAACCTTTTTGTTTGCATGTGTGACCTACTATTGATTCCCTATTATTCCATTTTGCAGCTGGCTCCTTAAAGATAATGGCAGCAAGCTCCCTGTTTGGTGAAACTTCTGGTGCTCCTTTGTTCCCTTCAGCGACGTTAACATCAAATAAGACAGATTCTATTACCATAAATTGGTCATTACAGCCATCAGCATTCAACTCTGAGAAGAAAGATCTAGATATCTTCATCTTACCGACAATATCATAACCAAAACCACAATGTTTTTCTTTAGACCCATTAGTTATCCAGCCCCCAGCTTTCTTCTTAATTTCATGAACTGAGTAGAATGAAAATGTCAAGGTGCTATCAACCTTTCCAGATGTTGGTAATTGGTTCACAGCAGCAGCTAGAATGTCACTCCTATTATCAACCACAAATTTGAAGAAAGGGAGTCCATTCTTGACAGTAAGTTGCATAAGAGCTTGAACAGGTGATGCCTGATTTGTCTCATTGGAAAGTGGCTTACTATTGCTGATAGGCTGCACACTCCCAAAACTGGAGTTTTTTTCTATAGCTCCCTTGCTCTGTACTGCTTCAGTAGAATGAGCAACCTTGGATTTCAACACTGGGTCTAGTAACCTCCTGAACGGACTTGGACGTCTTCTGCCACTAGAATTTGCCTTGTCCATTTTACTGTCGTCAATAGCAGCAAAAACCTCTGGGTTTTCTCGACTGGACTTAGCAGCAAGAGGTGTGGAGCTCAATGCTGGAACTGCCGAACTCTCCTTAAAACTGAAACTTCTGCTTAATCTACCAAAGCTAAAACTAAACCTCCTATTAGGTGATGGATGTCTTCTTTTATCAGCTGTATGCTTAGCAAAATCCAAGTTCGTTCCCTTAAAACTCTCAACTGAAACTGAATCGTCAAGGTTGTAGCTTTTTTCTTCTGAACATGTGGCTCTAGATGATCCGGGCTCGCTTGAGATACCACATTGAAATGGATACATCCAAACATCTGGTTCCCTGCCTCGGGAAATAGCAACAGTTGCAGGCAGGGGAGAGGAATGCGGAATTTCATATTGGAGTTCTCTCTTGTGAAGCTCCTGAGAAGAAAAATCACCAGAATATGATAACCTGTTGCCATCTGCTAACTGTCCATGAGACGATGTCCTGGAATTTGTTTCCTTAGCAGTATTCAACTCCGTCACTTCACAAGCATCAACTGAAGCTGGACAACCAACATTGCAAAGTTTTGAATGCAAACATTTGGCTTCAGATGACTGGGAGTTGATTGAGTTATTATTATTACGTGGCTGCATGCAGTAACCTGGTTTTCTGTCTCGTGCAGTGGCAACACTAGCGGGCATGGGAAACGAACATGGAATTTCATTGTAGAGTTCTCCAGATTGAAGCTCAAGAGAAGAAAAGCAATCAGAATATCTGCCCCTAGCGTGCTTTGTCAACTGCTCATTAGGTGATATTCTCGATTCTAATGACCGAGAATTCTGTGAGGAACGCCTTTTGGAAGGACATTTGGGCACTAGAAGCACTATATTTTGAAGTTCAGCATTGGAAGATATGGGACGACCCTTTATGTCATCATCTCTTCCAGTCCCAATTTTACCTTGCTGATAACACATTGGAAGTGAAGACATCGAGATGCTATTTTCCATCTGATCCAAGGATAATGCTGCTTTTTGCTGTGATGTGGTCCAATCCGCCTCTTTCTTCTTGCCCTTCTCATGATTCATCTGAGGACAACTGCTGCTGGGATTTTTCACCTTTTGACAATAATCTTTTTTCTGCCCAGCAGCGGTGCGACCTGAACGAGTTTGAGGATATTGGATGTTTTTTAACTTCCCTTTGGATTGCTGGACATCATCACACAATTTCATTTCAGTGCTGGACATCATCTGTTGTTTTCTACCAACAGAGGTTTTTGACAGTGCAGATTTTCCATTCTCCATATCCATGGATTTACCACTTGATGATACTTTTGGGTGACTTCTAGCTGGCATACGCTCGTTGTACTTCCATTTCTCTAGACGTTTCCAATCAAGAACTCCAAAATTCAAAGCCTGTACTTGAACATTCTTCTGCTTTTCCACTCGCTGGAGATAGCCAGGCAAATTAGACATATGCTTGACGAGTTCATCATCCTCATTATTTGTCTTTGACACAAGCTGCTGCTTTTGCAAACCTACTGAAGACTTCTTCTGTATCACTAGCTCATCATCCATTTGCTGTCTTAACCCATCAGGATGATTATCAGTGGACAGCTGAATAAAGGGGTTGATTACTTCAAGCTTTTTGTGAAACTTCAAACGTTGATGTGCTTGAATTGGTAGGATCTTCTCTTTTACAGCATTTGAGGATTGTTGTTGTCTTGAATTCCTTTTGAACTCCACATCATGCCCCATTGTTCTAGCAGGTTCAGAATATTCCTTACTTGATTTTGTGTAAGCTGACATTGCATCAAGTACCCCAAGCTTAGCTGCAAAAATAGCATAAAATTGTTGGGTAGCCAACAACAAATCATTTTCAAAGAGCAGCTCATGAATTTCCCTTAATTACAACTGGTCTTGAAAAAGCATCAAAGTGTATTGAACACTGAATTATTTTGATTACAGAGGGGCCATACAGAACTGTACACCAAGACTATATGGTACCAAATTTATACTCGTATAGAATAAGGAACCATGAACAATAACAGGGATGAAGAAGGCTTAGTATGTAAAAGTCGAATCAAGAGAACAAATAGGATTCCAGGTTCCATTATATACATCTTAATGGTATAGGATAGGTATGTAAGCCTGGTTACTTTGCTTATCAGTCAAACAGTAGTTCCTGAATACTTTTGGTCCGTCATAACAAGTTGTGCTGCATTAGTTCTTACTGGATAAAGGAGGAAGAATAGGAGAGCTCCTGTCAGAATCCCCAAGATTAAACACAAGAACTAGAAAGAATAGGCATTGTTAAGTATTAGAGGTCCTGGGTTCCAATTCCCTTCCTGTCTCCCCGCTTCTTGAATCCCACCCCTCCCCTCATAGAAGGGACAAAAAAACACTATTCAGTGTTAGCTATGAATATAGCCTCGGGTTTTTAATTTTTCTTATTTCATCATCAACTTCCACAACTTAAGTTATCTTGCATAAAAATAACTTTATATGACAGTATTGACTATTCCACATTGTTCTGTCATCTATTGTCTATAGCATAACATCACCAGTCCTCAATCTCCTAACATTAAGAACAGCAGTATGGATTGAAGACTTCTGCAGCAGTCTACAAAACAAGGATGGTGTGATCCTGAAATAGCAACATAATACATCTCGGTCAAGGAGTGAATGCCCATGTCCACTTGCACATCTAATAACTACCATGAGTCTAGAAGAGCGATGCACGATTAACCAAGAATATCTACTATATACAAGGCCAATGCAAACGAAAACAGGTCAAAATCAAACAGCACAACACAAGAATCAGAATGGTATCCAAAAATCATACAGCACAAGCCCCTGTCTACTTGCACTAGCAGCAGTGTTTGCTCCCATATATACACTATAACAGCAGTTTTCATTCACACCCACAAATCCCAGATCCACGCCAACTAAAACCCAATCAGTAAAGAAAAGCACAAAAGCCAGCATTACCAAGCACCAATCACCGAAGGAATTACAAGTGCATTAGCTCCAGGAAAGTCATAATGCTATACAAATAACGGATAATAACTCCAAAAATTTCACGTAGCGGTCCGAATAAAGTTTCCATTTACTATTCAAGAATTCCCGAAGCTGCACGTCCCAACAAAGAGGATGGGCAGTGATGATTGAAGCCCATTAGTAATTTTTTATGTGACAAAAACTCGGAACAAGAAAGAAATCATCTTGGAAGAGCGTGAAAAGGAATGTACTTACACGAAAGACAAAGCAAGGAATTGCAGAGAGATCAAGAAGCCAAGAAAGATTCTTGGGATTGCATCAGGAACTTTCTTTAAAGCCGCTTAAGGAAACAAAGAATCAGACCAGCGAAGCTGAAATTGTATAGGAAGAGTGAGTACCCCGGCCGATAGGCATTACTAAGTAGACTATCCCAGTAGCACAATTATAGGGGAAGGGGAAGAAAAACCCGGGAAATTTTCGTCTACTTGCTGCAGTAGTGTATACAGCGTATCTGCAGTGGAGGAGAAAGAAAAAGAGGAACAGAAGAGAGAGAGAGAGAGGCGAGTGGGGGTGGGGTAGGGGCGCTTCATTGTCAATCGGACGGTTAAAAGGCGAGGTGGCAATTGATAGGCGGTCGCAATCAGAGAGGACTGGATTGGACTAGGAGGAGCTATCAGAGACAGAGAGAGAGAGCGGCGGCCCCACAAGCGGACAATTTTTCTTTGTCTCGGATCCCAAGAAGTTCTTTCATTCGTCCGCGGGGCCCACTTATGCGTGATGTCATTAGGCCACCGCACGTGACTGGGTTGTGGAGATGGATAACCGATTGAGCATCTATTAGTGGTGGGAAATTGGGAATGGACGCAAAAATGGTGGACGCCAGCCCCGGAATTATCCATCTGCCTGTTGTTTGTTAGGGCTTTTGGTGGGCTTTTGCACTGGGCTTCCCCTGCCAAATTTGGCCCATTGCTTAGCCTTTTTGGTCATGCATGCATGGCGCGCTGCCTCACATGAAAAACGTTACCATAGTACTGCAACGAAGAACGAACAAAAAGGGTCTCCTCTTCTTCTTCTTCTTCTTCCTCTTAATTTTTTTTTTAAAAAAAAAAAATAAATAATCATGGACCACGCCGACGACAACCAACGAAAGGGGAAGGGAATTGAGTACATTGAGCGGAGGAGGGTGGAGAGAGCCGAGGGAGTCCGTCTGTATGATCTTTGGGTCCATCACTCGAGAGGTTTGGTATTTAACGGATTCTTCAACATCTTGTCTTAGAATTAAATTTAAAATGCCCAAACAAACAACCAACAGGGGCGCGTAAATTTGACAGGCACATGAAAAATGAAACGGAAACATACAAATTTGGCAAGTAGCACTGGCCTTCCTTTTTGTCCATTTCCGCATTCCCCAAAATTCGTCACTGCCAAAGTTTTTTGACTTTGTGGATTTCTTTGTTTGTTGCTTTTGGGGCTCAATGATCGGCAGAGCAAGACATGGTCCTACTCCCATAGCCAATGTTTTAAAACTAGACCGTTGAATCGATAAGGTGTTCGTTCGGGTCAAAATTTAACTGGTCAGACCGATTCAATTTTAATTCGATAAATTTTTTACAAATAATTTATATAAATATATATATGCATAAAATAAGACATGCAATTGACTAATTCAAAACTTTATGTGATGAAAAGTTTAATATTTGCAAAGAACTTGAATTCTCAAAAATAAATTTTTTAAATTATAAATTAAAACAAATAAATTTCATCTCAGTCTCAATTATATCTACCGAAAAAATAATTTTAAATTCAACCCAAAAATGCCACAATATTTTGAAATTATACAAAATTCATGACTATGAGAGTTAAACATTGTGAGTTTAAATTTTAATTCATGTTTTTTGAATTTAGAGATTACAACTTAAAAAGGAAGTTTGGAGTTTGGTGGAAGTCAGGACAATAGAAAATAGAGATGCAAATTTGATAAGAAGCAAAAAATGAGATGAAAGTGAGTGGTTGTGACATTTTATCATTAGTCTTTAGGATTAAATAAAATATTTTTTTAAAATTTTTCAATTTAATAGACAAAAACAAAAGATTGAAGAAAACATCAATAAATAAAAACTAAAGAGGTTGCATTAAAAAAGGGGTGACAAAAGAAAAATAATAGAAAGAGCTGAAAAACTAGAAAAAAAAGCGTCATGTGAGGATGAGATTTTGTAGGAAAAATGGATGAATGAAAGATGGAGGCTTGTTTTATATAAATGTGTTATCTCTTTGGATGTGATGGTGCAATGGTTGCCACGCTGGACTTCAATAGCCAAGGTCCCAAGTTTGATCCTTTGCCAGCTGCATTTTGAAAAAATTTAAAAAATATTGAGTGAAGAATTGGAAAATCGAGAATCATCGGTTAGATCAGATTTTTTGACGAGTTTAACTGATTTTGACCAGTTATTTGACACTTTCAACTTTAATATAGAATCGGACCGGTATCATGGGTGATTCACGGTTCAATCGATCGAACCACCCGATCATGTTCGATTTTCAAAACATTGCCAATAGCAACTACGGGGCTGCTACTCTCTCTCTCTCTAACAAATTTAGTAAGAACCAAACCACTCCGTTAATCAAACTTGAGCTTTTAATGTTTTCTTCGGTGCAAAGAGAAGGATAAAAAAGACCAGCGGGCTTGTAGTATCATCATGGCGGAGAACATGAGAGCTAACACTCTCTCATTACTCATACACTACGAACTTGAAACTTGATATATTTTCCTTACATTGTAATCAGGGTCCTAGAGTTGGGGGGATCAAAATCAATTAGCACAAGATTTATAGTAATAATAGAATTCGAAACTAATAAATACGTCTATCTTAAAAATAAATTCTTTTTTTTGGTAGGTCTAGAACTCTTGTGAGGGATAATGATAATGAATTTTTAATAATTTAGGAGGGTAGTGTATGATAGAAAAGAGAATTCTAAAATTTTAAGGGTTGGCGAGGCGGAGGGTGGGGGGGGGGGATTAAAAACATTATTGAAAATTTCTAAACTTTGTTAGCCTGCAATATATTTTTCTCAAAATTGAGCGGGGTGCAATTGCACCGCCTCAGCAACATGTAGATCCGCCACTGATTGTAATCATATTAAATAACCCAAAAAAAAAAAAAAGATTTTTTGTTTAAAAAAATCAATCGTAGCTACTGAACCGATCATCGTAGCTACCACACAAACCAAAAACGAAAATACTCCCCGGCTCCGCTTGAGAATTACACAACCGTAGAGGGACTGAAAATTCCAAAACCCCACAAGTCGTAAAGTAAGGATGGCCCTACCCATAAAAAACATAATAGTGGTCCTTAAAGCATTCTTGCACGCCCGTTAACGCGGAATACACAAATTAATCATTATCCCTGCACCTCTCCTCTACTTTCGTCTTTCAATTTTTATTTTTTATTTTCGCTCTCTTGTTTCAGGTAACTCCTTCCAATATTCCGCTCCGGCGTTTTGCTGATGGCTTTTGGGCGATCTCAGCTCCCTTACTTTGTAAAAGCTCAAAAGTCCTGCGTGCGGCCGCATTTGGATCATCTACTTTGGATTTTGTACCAATCTAATCTTTTCCGTAGACGCCCTAACTCAACTGCTGAGGAATATGTCTTGCTTGATCATGAAGCATGACCAATCATGAAAGCTAGTAAAGTAAAGTTTGCTAGTAGTAATATTTGGTGTTATATCAGGATCGGCATTTCGCGGGCCAGTCTTGACAATTCAACTGTGCCGAAGCTTTCTGCTTGATTAATAAGCGAAGAAAGCCCACCAATATCAGGTTTTGGTCATGTATTCAGGAGGGGGGACGCTACGCGAGATTGGGGGATTACCAAGCCCTAGTCTTCTGAGTGATGCCTAAGAGTTATACCCACAAAAAAAAAAAAGGTCTATGAAATTGCGCTCTTATTAAATTCTTATTTCTATTTCTCATATTTGTTGAACCCAGTTGATCGGTCATTTTGTTCAGTCTGTTAGCTGGGTTTAAACAGCATTACGGATAAGGGGGTAATTATAATTTGGTCAGACTATGAGGGTTCGTTTGGTAGTTTGAACAAACTTCGGGAGAGGTATATGTAATTAAACCTTTATTTTACACACGGAGCATTACACATTCATTCCAGCATACGGTATAAGAACGGAGACATGTTGAAACAAAATTAGAGGACAGAAACAAACAATGCCCAAACTTGAGCAACAGCTTTATCCAGAGAATTATGAAGGCATGCATGGAAAGTTAGATGCAACGCAAGTAGGCCAGTAAAGGATATGTAATCCTGATGGTCAACCACTGATCTCAATGGCCCTGACCTCTGGCTTCTTCACCTCCTGCTTAGGGATGGTGACGGTGAGGACCCCATACTCCATGTTCGCCTTGACCTCCTCAACTTAGCATTTTCAGGCAGCAAGAACTTCCTTGTGAACCTGCCGCGTGACCTCTCAACCCGGTGCCACTTGTCATTCTTGTCTTCCTTCTCAGCCGCCCTTTCCCCGCTGATCGCCAGAACTCGTCCGTCCTCAACCTCGACCTTTACCTCTTCTTTCTTCAGTCCAGGAAGGTCAACTTTGAACACATGAGCCTCAGGGGTCTCCTTCCAGTCCACCCGCGCATTCACCATACCCTTGGTCTCGTCGCTCAAGCCCGAGGGTGCCAACATATCACCAAACAACTTGGGGATCAACGCCATTTAAAAATTTTCAACCCCTTACAAGTATCACCACCCCCCCTTAAGAAAAAAAAAATTGATTTACTCCTTCCTTGACTATCAGGTTTCTTGAGGGGTCAAGAAAGCTTTTAATCAGTCAATTGCCCGCCTTAGTAACCCGTATAGCGTAGCTAGGAATGTATCTTTGGTGATTATTTATAGTGATCAAGGAGTGGAGTCGCGAAGTTTCAGGGGACTTCTGGGATGATTAATTTTGGCAACACAATCAATCAATGTCCAATGATTATGCTGGTCTTCTAGTCCAGTCTACTTACGTGGCTAGTCTGGAGACTACCATTTCATTTTCCAGACGAAGCTACGAGGTTTCACGCTGAGGGTAGAAAGTTCTGGCCACAGGCTAGGCCCCTTTCAGTATCGATGGATTAGATTATGTTCGGTAATCTTCTTGGGCTGGTTACATGCGCTGCTTTGCTCACGATAATCTCTCTGGGCTTCAACGTTGTGTCCTCTGGGCCTTCACATGCTTTTGATGAAGTTCTTCGTTAGTTGTTGTTGGGGCTCGTTTGCTCCAAGCCCCTTCCTCACGCACGAGCTATCTTTTTCCTTTGGTTTGTTACTTGAAATGTTTTAAGGAAAAGTCTAAAGAAACAATCATTATGGTAACGAAACTGTTTTTATCTAACATAATAGGTGAAAACATTTTTAATGACCATTTGATTATTTATTAGACTGGTCACTTAAATAAGATAGTACCTAAAAATTTGGTTAGTCAGTTTTACATAAAAAATAGTAAGCTAACTCGATAAATTAATAACTTTTATGTCTCAAAAAGTAAATTGGAATAAATATGAAACTT